TTGTCCCCCAGATAATGTCTCCTCTAGAGATCATTCGAATTCCAAAGGGAATCATTTACAAGTTAATTCCTGTCTCTGGAGTCCCTCTGTTCTCGCTGATGATCATTCACGCCCCATCAAAAGAACCGTCCACACTCCCCATCTCGCCTCCCTGATGAGGAAGGACACAGGAGCACCGGCCTCCCGGGAGGTTCTCAGGCCATCGCCTTCCTGCGGCCCCACCCCACGCATGGGGAACATGTCTGCCCCCGCAGCGACGGCCGCTGCCTCCCTGGACAGGCTTCCTGGGTCTGCATCTCTGCTCTCAGCCAACTCATTGTGCCCCTCTCTGAGCCTCGGTTTCCTCACCTCTGAAATAAGCTCCGCGCCCATCTCAAAGGGTAACTGAGGAGATCAGTGAGGGAATGTGGGTGATGGCCTTAGCACAGGACTTGGTACACTGTCCTGGTTGGGACCATCCCAGGGAATCCCAAAGCAAGCTGACATCTAGCTGTCAGAGAGGAGACCACTCCTTATATTGCCTTATACTTAATTTCTTCTTTGCTGAAAAAGTAGAAGTTAAAAGAATAGGCAGAAGTGAAAAATAAAAAAATCGTAGACAACGGGGCGCCACATTTCGGGCCTGGTGTTAAAATTCAACTCCTGACCTCACCGCTTGTGCTATCTATAGATTCCAGACAGTATGTAAAAAAGCATTATGAAACTCCCCGTTCTGTTCTGTTTTGTTCTGATTACTGGTGTGTGCAGCCCCCAGTCATGTACCCATCACTTGCTCAATAGATCACGACCCCCCCACACACACAGCCCCTTTAGAGTTGTGAGCCCTTACAAGGGACAGGAATTACTTATTTGGAGAGCTCGATCTCTAGGATGTGAGTCTGCCGATGCTCCCAGCTGAATACAGCTCTTTCCTTCCACAATCCAGTGTCAGGAATTGTCTACGACTCCTCCTGCTACAGCTGGAGGGAAACCCTCTTCCTTCCCAGCCCCAGTTGTCTCTTTGTAACCATGATAGTTTGCTGCCGATGCACACACATCAAGTCTGTATGCTGAGATGCTGGGCTGCAGCAGAGAAGGGGTTAATCATAGGGTCACTGAAGAAGTTGCTGGGAGGGAACCTCAAATCTATCTCCCAGAGGAATCTGGGGCTGGGGTTTGTTGTTGCTGTTGTTTGGTGTTGGTTTGGTGTTTTTTTGTTTGTTTTTTGAGACAGGGTCCCACGCTGGAGTTCAAGGGCAGAATCAAAGTGAAATGGCAAAGATTCCCTTGTCCCCTCGCCGGGCATGCAATGGGGGACTGGCTTGCTTCTTTGGTGCCCCACTGCTCAAACCCCTAGGGGAGCATATCGACGGGCAGGGAGCCCCACGGCAGCTTCTAGGGGTGAATGTTGATAGCTGAAGCCCCAGTGGGCATGTGCTACAGGGCACTCTCTTAGTTTAGCCGTCTGTAGGCGGCTTGTGTTAACCAGCTCAATTAGGCCTGTGCCTTACCACAAGGACAGAGGCCTGTATCCCGGGGTTCTTGCTGTACCGGAAGAATCGGATCACACGTGGGCTTGGAGAATGAGTGCAAAGTTTGATTGCGTGGAAGCAGCTCTCAGCAGATGGGAGAGCCAGAAGGGAGATGGTTTTCCCCTGGAGTCAGGCCTCTCAGCAGCCTGGGCTCTCCTCCGACCACCCCAGCCAAACTCCATCATTCCACCAGCCGATGGCCTGCCGGGGTCTCAGTGTGCTCTTCTGCCGGTGTGCTCCCCCCGACGGCCTCTCGACATCCAGCCGCTTGTGTGTTCTGCCGATGGGTTCCTCTCCATGTCCAGTGCTTGGGTTCCTGCCCGCTAGGTCTCGGGGTTTCTATAGGCACAGGATGGGGGCGTGGCAGGGCAGGGTGGTTTTGGAAAATGCAACATTTGGACATGAAGGCAGGGTGTGTCGGTCGTCACCTAGGTCCGTGGGCACAGGCCTGTGGGTGGAGTCCTAGCCAGGGACCACGCCCTCCTCTACCCAGCACTTCCCTGCCCACCACTCATATCAATAATTCACTGCAGCCTTGAACTCCTGGGCTCACGTAATCCTGCCGCCTCAGCCTCCACCGTGCCCAGCTACTTTTTTGTTTGTTTTTTTTGAGACGGAGACTCGCCATCTCCCAGGCTGGAGTGTAGTGGCGCGATCTCGGCTCACTGCAAGCTCTGCCTCCCAGGTTCACGCCATTCTCCTGCCTCAGCCTCCCGAGTAGCTGGGACTACAGTAGCAGTGAGGACGACCAGAGGTCACTCTCGTGACTATCTTGGTTTCCGTGGGTTTTTGTCACTTCTTTACTGCAACCTGATTTATCAGCAAGGTCTTTATGACCTGTGTTTTGTGCCGACCTCCTGTGTCATCCTGTGACTTAAAACGGCTTCACCGCCTGGGAATGCAGCCCAGTAGGTCTCAGCCTCATTTTACCCAGCTCCTGTTCAACATGGAGCTGCTCTGGTTCACATGACTAACAGTTTCACCTTCTGGTCAGAGCATTTGGACCTCCACAGGCTCTGACTCAGCCCTCTTATCCCAGGCTAATCCCATCCCTGTCCCATCCCTCTCTAAAAACCCCACTACCTTCTTTCTGAGAAAGTTGAGTCTTGTTTATACTAAAGTGTTAATGACTCACAAAGCATTCCCAGAGGAAAAGTTAACAGGAAGAGACTCTGAGGCTCTGGTGGTGAAAGGTCAGGCATCAGCCCTGGGGGAGATGTTATTTTTTTTTTTCTGGAGGCCCCTCCTGACACCCCCATCTCTGCACAGGAATAGGAATGTGCCCAGCGGGTCCACCTATCTGCCCACGTGGCCCCAGCCCAGGCTTCTTGGAGTAGAGCAGGGCTCATGCGTGTGGCACCCACACGCAGTTTCAGGCATGGACTTTCTCGGATGGCTGGGTGGCTTTGGAGGAGGTGGGAGCTGTTGGTGGAGAATGCTGAGCCCAGCCCTGACGACGGTCCTCTTTTCCTGCCCTAATAGGCTAGTCCTCACCACTGTGGGGGCCTCAATTTGGGGATATTCTCCTCAAACTCCTGCTGGTTCCGAATCTTGCAGGGAGACCAGCATCTCCTTAGCTGCAAATCCCAGTCGCTGCGGGGTCTTGGGGCTTCTGGGAGTCCCTGATGGGCCCAGGGCTTCCTTTCTCACTGACCTGGAGGCCTCTCCCCATGGCTCCCCATCTGACGTCTTCTTACCTGGGAGACGTAAATTGGAAAGACTCACAGGGACCCGGGGCATCACGGGAGCCCTCCTAGGTACTGGACAGATGTTTATTCATTTTGAAAAATGCGGCAAATAGGCAAATAAAGATGTTAGGGTGGGGCCGGCACGGTAGCTCAAGCCTGTGAATCCCAGCACTTTGGGAGGCCGAGACGGTGGGTCACGAGGTCAGAAGATCGAGGACCTCCTGGGCTAACACGGGAAACCCCATTCTCCACTAAAAAAACAAAAAACAGGCCGGCGAGGGTGGCGGCGCCTGGTCCAGCTACTCGGGAGGCTGAGGCGGAGAATGGCGTGAACCTGGGAGGCGGAAGCTTGCAGTGAGGCTGAGATCCGGCCACGACTCCAGCCTGGGGCACAGAGCAAGACCTGCCGTCTCAAAAAAAAAAAAAAAAGATTTAGGGACATTGGAGAAAAACAGCAAAATAGTCACAGCAGTGCTTGCTGCTCAGGGGGAGAAGGCACATGGGTTTTCCCATCTTTTATTTGGAAATCATTGCAGATGCACAGAATTGCAAAGAAGCCTAGAGGTCTCCATGCACCCGCCCCCACCCCCACGGCGTCATCCCGCAAAGCTGCAGGGCAACTGCCAAATCCAGACACACACGCCCAGCACCCACAGGGATGGCTCAGACAGGGAACTTTACTTTCTTTGTACTCTCAGTATTCCCAACACTTCTGGAATAGGCACGTGACCGTTAATTTTAGCTCCTTATTTCTTTTTATTTAATTAAATAAGCAACATATGGATACTCCTTGTTTTGAGAATTTTGGGCCGGCCGCGCACAGCAAAGAGGCTGAGCGCCCCTCGGCAGCTCTCTTCACAGCCATGCGCTGGGATGCGTGTGGAGATCACCCACTGGGTTTGGAGGTGCACAGGACCTCAGGGGGCGATCCCACCAGAGGAGTGGGGCTCGGCCTATGGCCCAGCTACCCCGAACTCCCCAGTGAGCTCCAGGGCCTTTCCTTCCATTTCCAGGAGTGACACCAATCTTGTCTCCTCTCCCAGCCCCAAGCAATGGGAAGAGAGGGTCCCATAACAGGCCATGACAGTGGCCTGGGAGAGGCCACCCCTGCTGCCTGCCCACCTCAGAGGGTCCCCAGCTTGAGGATTCCGAGCAAACCTGGGTGCTGCATGTGTCCCTCCCCTGGAAAGAGCAGGCTGGAGATACTGACCCCTCGTCCCACCTCCCGGGTGCACTGCGGGTGGACTGGGAACCAGGCAGCAAAATCCACCCAGCTTGAGGCCCGCGTCCCCCTGAAAGGGCCCCAAGCCCACACCCGGGGTGTTGCTGAAGTGACCAAAGGTAACTGCTGTGCTGAGGGGGCACGGGAGGACAGAGGGGGGCGAAGGCGTGGTACCCCAAGATCATCCCTGAAAACACGTTGGGAAGTTCTACTTTGTATCTAGCCTGACTCCTTCTCCGGCGCCCAGGCCCTTTCCCGATAGACACAGCCCTCCCCTCCTATGTCCCTGAGCTTCCTGGTGCCTCTCCCTCTGCCCCCGGCAGCCCTGGCTTCTGTGCTGTATCCTCAGCAGGGCCTGGAGACACCCAGAGGCCTTAAAAACCACACCCTTCACTTTGATTTCTGCAGGAAACAAGGTGACTCTGGGCCTTGGATAGGAAAGGGTTGGGGGTCTCGCTGGGGCCCGGCAACACTGGCCTGAGTATGACCAGAACAGTCACCAGAGGCCTCCTGGGAGGGCGGGTGCAGCCCCAGCCCCCGCCGTGAGTAGGAGGAGCGGGGGCGGGTGTGAAAGTGTGGTGGACAGCAGCGGGTCTATGCGGCTCAGCAGTGGAAAGTGAGCGGGCCAGGATTCCAGGCGAGCTCAGGGACGGTTTTCACTGCAGCTAACCCTCTCCTGCCCGCCTGCACTCCCCGTGGCAACCAAAGGCCCTACAGTGTGCGACTCCTCTTTATTCTTCCAAACTCTGTGAGCCTGCACGCTCCCATCCAGGACAGAACAGCAGCGGAGAGTGGCTGAAGGATGACAGGGGGCCTTTAGGGCCAGCTGGGTGGATGAGCTGGGTCTGCTAGGGTTGAGGGTTCAGTCGGGGGTCGGGGAACGTCGAAGCCTGGGCCCCATCCAGCTGTCCTCTTTGTCCCGCCCAGGTGTCCCTGGGGTTCCTGTTGTGCCCCCGGCTTCTCTAGGGTTAAGTCCTCCTCCCCGTTCCCTCACCGTGGGGTTTAGCAGCATGGCACAGCTGTGGAGTTTGGACTGGCAGTCGGGGTCACAGCAGACTCAGGAGCTCCGATTCCGGGGCCAACACTGAATGCTCCTCTTCTGGGGACATCAGCGCCTCTCCCTTGGCTACTTGGGGAGGCTGGTATGGAGAGAAGTGGAGGGAGAAGGAGGAGGTGGAGGGAGACGTGGGGAAGTGAGGGGAGGTGGGGGGAAGGAGGGAAAGAGGGAGGAGGGAGAAGGGGGAAGGGGAGGAGGAAGGAGAGGAAGGAGAAAGGGGAAGGGGGAAGGGGGAGGGGGAGGGGAGGGCAGCTCAGGCCCTTCTGTCTGCTCTGATCTTCATGGCCTGAGGACAAGAGCTGCTCCCAGACCTGCGGAGGCCCCTTGGAGCAGAGGGATGTTTCAGAGAACACCCGGGTGACCGGCCTCCCTGCTCTGCATGACGCAGCACTAGGCCCCTGTGAGTCCAGCGTCACTCCTGCAAGGTAGGGGGTCACGGCCCCTGCCTGGACGGGCTGCGCAGCCCATCTGTCTTTACTTGGGCCTTCTCTGCTTCCAGAGGCTGCCCTGGGCACCTGACCCTGGAACCTTCATCTCCAGCTCCCCAGCCCCTCCCCCACAGCCCTGGGAGGGGTCTCCATGCTCAGTTTCTTCCTGTCTTGTTCAAAGAGACACTGCCTGCCCACATGCCATCAGCAGGATCCACAACCCTGCCAGGGGCCCCATGACACGCCCCCGCTGCACAGAGCATGTGACCCCAGAGGCCACCCTGGCCCGTTCCAGAAAGCGTGGGCCCTGGGATACTCCCCTCCCAGGGTGTCTGGTGGCCGGCCTATGCCTATCCCTGCTGTCCCCGGGGTGAGCCCGGAGGTCAGGAGCTCCAGAAGGGCCAGCTGGGCATATTCTGGGACTGGCCATCAGCCCCCATTTCTGCTGCAGACCTGGTCAGAGCCAGTGTTCCCTCCATGGGGCCTGAAGACAGTGCCAAGGGCCTGCACCATGGACCACAGCTATGCCGCTGGGCAGCTGGTGACGGTCCCGCGCGGGAGCGCTCTGGACCCCGCTCTCTGGGCAGCCCTGCCCTAGGCCTGGACACCTGCAGAGCCTGGGACCATGTGGATGGGCAGATCCTGGGCCAGCTGCGGCCCCTGGCAGAGGAGGAAGAGGAGGAGGGCGCCGGGGCCACGTCGCCCAGGGGGCCTGCCTTCCCCGGCATGGGTTCTGAAGAGCTGCGTCTGGCCTCCTTCTATGACTGGCCGCTGACGGCTGGGGTGCCGCCCGAGCTGCTGGCCGCTGCCGGCTTCTTCCACACAGGTCAGTCCCGGGCCGGGGGGCCTTCCTGCTGTGGGCCTGAGCACGATTCTGGACCCTTCCAGCCCAGGGCTCTGCCTCCTCCGTAGCATCCATCCCCCAACAGGAAGGGTCTGGCCAGATGATGGAGCAGTCGTCCTGCAAGCCCTTCAGTGCCCATGTGCTCCTGCCTGACACGCTCTCCCGGAGTCTCTGCTGGCCAAGTGTGTCAGACTGTGGGACATAAGGAGGGGCTGCCTCTGGCCATGGTCTGGGGGTCTCAGCTGTGGAGGCCACCAGCTTGGTGCGCAAGTACCTTTTTGTGATAGAAGTGGGTGGGGCTGACATTGCCTGGGGCCCTCACCGTCCCGCTGCTGGTCTGCACGGGGGGAGGAGATGTTTAAGGAACAGGATCAGGGTGACCAAGGCAGGCGTGGTCAGCCGGAAGGTCCTGGCAGCTCAGCCTGTGGGGAATTTCTTCAGGACCCAACCTGCAGCCACTGTCTGGTCTTCCCCGACTAAATCAAGTCCCCGGAGTACCTATCCTCGTCTTGGCCTGGGCCCGCTCCTCGGCCCTACAGCTGGGGACCATGTGGTCAGACCTGAGTTCAGGTCCCAGCTCTGCCACTTCCGGCCTCAAGGACAGGGCAGCAGGGCCCACTGAGGGCTTTACGAGTACTGGCACAGCCAAGGTCATTGTCAGCAGTGGGCTCTGGGGGGGCACCATCCTCGTAAGGCTGGACCAACTTAAGACAGCTGGTCGGGGGGGACAGTGGCTGGGACAGTCAGGAGTCGTGGTGTGAAGGGGCAGGCCTGGCTCACCCAACTCCCTGGAGGTCCAAGGCTCAGGAGGTGAAGGTCAGGCAGGTGCAGAGCCAGGGTCTTTGGGGCTGGTCGAGGTCCAGTGCCTGATGCAGCCCAAACCTGTGATGTCAGTGGCAGGTGACATATCGCATGCCTGCCGATGAGGGGACAGGGCCGTCAGGAGGTAGAGCGAGGAGGGATCCCCCACCCCCAAAGGGAGGCATGAGTTCCTAAAACCAAGCCTGGCCCCAGACTGGCCTTCTAGGGCAGCCTCCCTTCTTCCTCTCGCTGGGACTCATCTTGGGGAAGCAGAGACTTGGGGAGGGGCCCTTCTGGCTCCTGAAGCCTCAGGGCTATAGATGTGCCAGGCCCTGGGGGCCCCCACTGCTCACTCTGGGAACAATGCAAATGCCAGCTCAGTCCTTTCCTGAACATTCTCGCCCATCCTGGCCGGCACCCCAGACACCCTTGTCCCCTTTTCACCTTTGATGCTAGTGAGGTGCAAGTGTCCTCCCCCACCCAGCCCCCTGCCCACCCCCTTCTCCCTGTTGCCACCTGGGAGCTCCCCTCCAGTTGAAGCTCTCGCAGCCTTGGAAGGATGCACCGGGGGGCAGGGGGCTGGGTGGGGCCTGGCTGGGGCCAGCATCTCTCCGCACCCTAGGCCAGCAGGACAAGGTGAGGTGCTTCTTCTGCTATGGGGGCCTGCAGAGCTGGAAGCGCGGGGACGACCCCTGGACAGAACATGCCAAGTGGTTCCCCAGGTACCAGCTGTCCCCGTGGGGCCCCGGGTCTGATCACGGGTCAGGGGTGGGTCCCAAAGGGCTCTGTCGACCCAACACCAGGTCTGCTTTGCCTCCCTGGCCCTACAGGGCACTGGGGTGGCCCCTCTGTGGATGGTGCTTCCGGCCGGCAGGCACCCACTTTTCCTGTGAGGGCCCCTGTTCGGAAGGGCTGCTGGGGGCAGAAGTGCCTCTCCTATGGGACTACCCTGAAGCCCCACGGAGGTGTCTCCAAGGCAGCCCTCCTCGCCCATGCCCACGGGCACTGCAGGGCGGCGGGAGGAGGGGGCCCAACCCCAACCCCCGGGGATCCAAGGGCTTGAAGCGGACGGTGGGGGCCCTGAACCCCAACCTACATCTGTGGGGCATCTGCAGCTGCCAGTTCCTGCTCCGGTCAAAAGGAAGAGACTTTGTCCACAGTGTGCAGGAGACTCACTCTCAGCTGCTGGGCTCCTGGGTGAGCGCCACCTCCCCTCGGGGCTCCGGGCGGCAGTGGGGTCCTGCCCCTCCTATTTCCCCAAGGCACCGACGGTCTCTGGCTCCTTCCAGGACCCGTGGGAAGAACCGGAAGATGCAGCCCCTGTGGCCGCCTCTGGTGAGAGCCAACACCCTACTGACTCCTTGGGCACCTGCAGCCTGTGCTTGGCCAAGGCCACTGGGTGTCCCCACCCTGCCAGACAGCAGGGAGAGTGACGGGCACGTGACCGGGTGTGAGGCTGCTGCCTGGGTTGGCTTCATGGGGGCTGTGCCGTGTGAGGTGGCGCGGGGCGGCAGGGGCCTCTGCCAGTGCCAGGTCCCCATTCTGCTTCTCTCCCAGCTCACCCCCTGGGCACAGCCCATCGCCCCTCACCGCACCACTCCCAACAGTGCCCAGCACACAGTGTCTGCAGCCACTGCCAGATGGGCTGGATGTGCAGAGGGCCTTGGACAAGGGGCAGGCTCTCTGGTGGCCCCTCCAGGAAGCCTTTGAATCCTGTTATGCTGTGGGAGGGGTGGGAAGAAGTGTCGGGAGTGGGGATGCTCTGCAGTCCCTCCACTCCTGGCCAGAACTGGACCCCACAGGCTGCGGCCTGTCTCTGGGCCGGCCCGGCTTCCCCTTGGGAGCTAGGCCTCAAGTCCATCCTAACTGTCCACAGTCCCTGCCCCTGGGGACCCTGAGCTGCCCACGCCCAGAAGAGAGGTCCAGTCTGAAAGCGCCCAGGAGCCAGGTGCAGGCCTGGGACCCCCTGGGGTGGGGGCTGGGACAGGGGAGGGCTGATGGCACCTGAAGGGCTGGGTAATGCCAACCTTCCACAGGCCGCAGAGGGCGGGGGCCAGGGTGCGGGGACACTTTGCAGGCCTGTCCTCCTAGGGGGAGCCAGTCCAGCCCAGGCCCAGAGCGGGTGATGGGTTCTTGAGCCCCCAGGAGCCAGGGACGTGGAGGAGCAGCTGCGGCGGCTGCAGGAGGAGAGGACGTGCAAGGTGTGCCTGGACCGTGCCGTGTCCATCGTCTTTGTGCCATGCGGCCACCTGGTCTGTGCTGAGTGTGCCCCCAGCCTGCAGCTGTGCCCCATCTGCAGAGCCCCCGTCCGCAGCCGTGTGCGCACCTTCCTGTCCTAGGCCAGGTGAGCGTCCCAGCACCACGCACAGCCAGCCCTCCTGCGGAGATGGCCCTGAGCCGGCCGTGCCCGGCCCTCCTGAACCCACGGCAGGCCCTTCCCGGGTGGCATCGTCAGCCTGTCCTTACCCCGCTCACCAGGCCCCACTGATAGCACCCATCAGTCTTACTACCTGCCTTGACGCTTAGGTTGGGGCCTGGTCCTTCTCAGCACCATGCCCTGGCAGCCACCACAGCTCTGCCCGCCTGCGTTAACTGACGCCTGCTGGCTCCTCTCGGCCTTGATTTTCTTCAGTGGTCAAGGAAAGCCGGCTTTGGAGGCGTTTGGGGAAACAGAGTGGGCCGGTTTGTGCTTACACAAGCAAGACACCAGCCTGGCCTTAAACCGGGGCCAAGGCACGGTGGGAACGCCTGCACGGTGGGAACGCCTGCACGGTGGGAACGCCTGCACAGTGGGAACGCCTGCATGGGAAGGGGACGTGTGAACCTGTTCTTAGAGAAGTGGGTGGGATGCCTCAAGCTGGCCGAGGGACAGGTGCTGTGACTGCCTCGGGGCTCTCCAGGGCCTCTGTAGTTACCCCCGGGATGTGTCTAAAGATCTTCTGGCGGGGACAACGTAGTCAGGCAGGGAAATCTGGGAAAGGGAAATCTGGTATCTGAGGCCCCTGGCTCAGTGGGCCCTGTTGGTAGCCATTGACTCACCCACCCCTCCTCTCCCTCTAGGTACCGTGGTCGGCCAGGTGGGCTGCAGAGTGGGCTCCCTGCCCCTGTCTGCCTGTCCTGGACTGTGTTCTGGGCCTGCTGAGGACGGCAGAGCTGGTGTCCATCCAGCACCCACAAACCCTGATTCCCTGACCACCGTCCAGGGTGGAGAAGGAAGCCCCTGCTTGGCATGGAGGATGCCTTTACTGCACCTGTTTGGATGCTTCTGAATAGAAATAAAGTGGGTTTTCCCTGGATGTACCCAGCAGCCTGTTCTAGACCACAAGCTGCCTCCCCACCGGCCCAATCTGACACAGGTCACCACCCCTCCAGGCCGGCAGGGCAGCACCTGCCCAGGTCCAGCCGGCTCCGGGCTGCTCCCCAAACTTCCCGCACTCCCGCGGACACCCCCTTCCGGGCCCCTCGCCTCCTTCCCCTCGCGCTTGTCCTCCAGTATTTTCAGGACTGTTGGAACAGGCAGGCCTCAGGCCCCACCTGAGATTGTACCCGACTGTCCCCCAAACTTGGCATCTTCCGGAGGGTGGGCGAGGACCATGTTCCTGTTTATTTACCAACTTGATGATACCTGGGGGAGCCTTTGGGACTGTTTGCCCAAGACCCCTCTTTACAAGGGTACCGCCCCCTTGTCACCACCACGTGCCCTGCAGTATGCCTTGGGGCCTGGCTCTGCCGTTCTTGGTCAAGCCCAGCCCACACCCCAGGACTCCATCAGCCTCAGCTCCTGGCGGCTCTGGGGGTTCTTCTGGCACAAGTTTGGGGCTGGGCACCCTCCATGTTCAACTGGGGCCCTCGCCGCTTGCCGGGTCTCGGGGCTCACATTCTCGGGGCTCACATTGACTTCCTGGGGGGCTGTGCCGTTCCCGCCTCGCTGCGCCCCAGCAGCGGTGCTTGCAGCCCGAGGGTCCAGCGGCCCCAGCTGGGCACCTGAGAGAGGGGCTCCTCGAGGACACGACGGCCTGGGGGCAGAGCTGTGTCTCCCACGTTGCCGGGGGAGGTGGGCATGTGGGGCTCTGCCTTTTCTTTTGTATGCTTGCTTGTTTTCTTTTTTTTTTTTTTTTTAAGAGAAAGGAAATTACAAACTCTCTTGAAGTTGTAGCTGGCTGTGGCTGCCGCCCTGGCTGGTGTCCAGCACTTAGAACCCAGGGCAGGTGCTGCCGGCCACCTGGAGGGTGCTGGGTGGGGGTGCGTCCCAAGGCCTGGGGGCTCCTGTCATTGTCGCTGGTTGGTTGCTGAGGCTGGAGGCCGCAGGAGCAGGATCAGCTGTTTCCTCACTTACGCAGGCCTGTGGGGACAAGGTCAGAGAGCACCTGGGGGAGCAGGGCTGGGGCTGCCACTGGGGGCTGCCACCCCCTCCCCTTGGAGAACCTGAAATGGAACAAAGTCCAAGCAGTGATGGCTTCAGGCCTTTGGCAGAAAGGAGGTAGGTGGGGCTGAGGCTCTGGAAAGCCACCACTGCCTCTCCCTGTGCCGGGCAGATCAGCGTCTTGTGCTTGTTTGCTGACATCTCAGTGGGGTCTGGGCTGTGGGGCTGGGAGTGGAGTGGGGGCTCGCCCAGGGGTGTACCTGGGTCCCTGGCTCAGGGCCTGCGTGTGACCCCACCCCTGCCCGGGTCTTTATTTCCCCGTTCTCTGACATGGGAGCTGGGCTCCTGCTACCTCAGACAGCCCCTGCCATGACAGCCCTCATTTTTAGGAGAGAAGGGCCAGGGGCTACCCAGGGGCGTGCCATCAGGTGTCTCTGGGGGCCTGGGCAGCCCAGGGGCAGTGCGGCCACCTATTCTGAGCCCCAAACTAGGATTGTGTACAGGGCGAGCTGTGTGGCAAAAGCTATTTCAGAGGAGGACAGCTGGGAGCCCCGGCACCCCACCCCAGGGTCTGGGGTTTGCAGAACTGTGGACACTGCCTTTCAAGAAACAAGTCTGGTTCTGCCAGATAGGAAACCAGGGCCCCAGCTGCCTGCCACGGAGAGACCCCTACGGCAGCCCCACGCCGCCCGCTGGGAAGTGGCTCTTCAGGACACCCTTGCAGCCCCTGACTCAGAGCCGTCTCCTGGACCCAACCCCCTCCCACAGGCGCAGTCTCTGCTGGGCTCTGAGCTTCTGGGCTGGGAGTGGGTCCTAGGTCTCTGCAGCCCCAGTACCACCCCAGAGCCTGGCATGAAGCAGATGTTAGAAAAGTGAGGGTGGATGGATGGACGGATGGATGGATGGACGGACAGGCAGGCCAAGGAAGGCAGCCTCTTGCTGTGAGCGCCAGATTGGCCAGGCTGGCTGCAGAGCAGGTTCTGCCGGCCATACTTACAAGTACGCCTGCTTGGACAAGAGGCTGGATGGCTTTTCATTGACATGGTAGAGAGGAAATGGATCAAATCCACCAATGAAATCAACTGAAAGAAATCAAGACCCAAATAAAACCCACACAATGGAAAAGATGGCAGAGCGGAAAACAGACCCAATCACAGAATGAAGCCCAAGGGGTCCCTGGGCCACAGAGACGCCCCAAGTCCTGACACGACAGCAGAGGGGACACAGCCGGGGGACGGGGGGCATAGGACAGCCCGGGTCCTCCGGCCTGTGCGGGGACGGCCTGGGGGGACGGCAGAGGTAGGACAGCCCGGGTCCTCCAGCCTGTGCGGGGGCTGCACCGTGTTCTGCCCTCTCCCACCACCCTCTGTCATGTTCAGTCACGGTGGCTCCCTTGACACTGTCTGCATAGCCAGCAGGTGACAGGGGCTTGCTGGGCAAAGTCGATGCATTCTGAACTCCAGGTTCAAATGGCGTTCCCATCTTAAAATGTTTGAACGGAGCCAGAGAGCGGAAGCTATTTGCCTCCTCCCAGGAAGCTGGCTGAGCCCTGAGTGATGGTTTAGGATCAGCGGCACAGTGGCTGAGGGATGCTGGGTGCTGGGGACGGAGGCTCTGAGGGCGTCCCCTGCCTCTGGAATCAGTCCTGGTCTGAGGGCAGGGTGCCCTTTGACGTGTGGACTGCTGACCCCATGGTCCCTGGGGTCCTGGAGACAGATGGCTTTGAACTGGATTCTGACCCCGGGGCCCCCCAGGCACACCCAGACTCTGCTTGGCATCTGCCCTTCCCCACCTGGCTCTGTCCTTGTCCACACGGTCTTCCTGTGAGACCACATCAGGATGAGGGGCCCAGCGAGGGCACCTGAGTGTGGATCACTCATGTTGCAAATCACGGGAAAGCTGATGGGGGCTGGCGAGCAGAGGGAAAATGAAAACCCTGCCTCGATGGGTCCAGGCTGCCACCGAGGGCCAGATGTGAGCGTCCTGGCCAGTGGGGCCCGGTTCTGAGCTGCCTGGAGGCTGCAGCGGCCCAGGACTCGGCAGGTCTGAGCTCAGACCTTCTACCTGTGGCCACTGCGGGGATCATAAGGACAGGCCCAGCCTGAAGCACAGGAGCCCTTGGACCTGGGGGACAGCTGAACCCTGGGGCCCCCAGGCCAGGACCTCTGCTCGTCTCTTCCCTGTGTGTAGTGAGTCCTCTTCTGCTCAGGCCTATAGTCGTGAGCAAGGCCCTGCTGGGCGTGGGGTCCCTCCCAAGAGGGGAGGTCTCTCGCCTTGCCCAGACAGGACAGACTCAGAGTTGCCACCTCTGTAGCAGTCTCCCACCCCACTGCCTGCAGAGGCCCCATACTCACAGCTGTCCTCTTCCTCCGTAAACACACTGACCACGTAGCAGCCACAGACAAAACCTAGAAGCTGAAAGACACCACAGGCGGAGGGGTGAGTGTGGCCAGGCGAGCCCGCGGGGTGTCACCGCGGCGATGCAGGCAGAGGCACCCGAGCACCCCTGACCACCAAGGCCCTGCCTCTCCTAGACCTCAGGTTCCTCCTCTGTGACACGGAGTGGGAGAGCTGACCCGTGGACATCCTCAACTCTCAAGTTCCAGACGCACCCCTGCCTTCCACCCCACCCCACTCAACCGGGTGGGGGGCAGGTGGGTGAGGATAATGGATATTGGGTGGGGAAGATGACCAGGTCAGCCTGAGTGGCTACAGGGAGTGGGGTGAGGCTGCAGAAGCCCAGGCGGGATGAACCCTAGGCCAGCCCAGTCCCAGCCCAGAGTCCCCTCGGGCCCCTCGCCTTTGGCCCCAGCCCACCCCAGCCAACAGCCACCAGGAGTTCCTCCTCCTCTGTGGAGCGAGCCGTCTGGGATTCTGGTTTTGAGCTCAGCAAAGTGCAGGAGAGACAGGCTGAGGACTCGGGGTCCAGCAGGCAACTCCAGGCAGAGCTGGGGGCTGGCTGCTGCCTGTGGGGCAGGGGTCAAGCAGCGAGAGGAGAGGGACTGGGAGTCCAGGGCAGAAGACAGGCCACTGCAAAGCCCCACACACCTCGCAGACACCTGCATCCAGGGCCACTGAGGGAAAAAGGGCTCTGGCAAAGGGGGGCAGCGTTGCCACAGCCAGAAACACCAACGGCATGAGCGAGAGGGCCCGGCCAGGGTCACTCCAGGGCACAGACACTGAGGGAGGGGTTGGGGGCAGCCGGCCGCAGTGGGTTTGTGACTGGAGGTGCCCCGGAACGAAGCAGGACACCTTTCTGGCTGCACCTCAGGCCGACCGCTGAGCAGCCGCGTGACCTCGAAAATTCACTTCACCTTCTGGTCTTGGTTTCTTCCTCCATAGACCTGGCCCAACAGCCCCCCGAGAAGGCCCCGGTCCCAGGAGAGGAGACAGGACATGCAGGTCAGGCCCCAGGGCTGGACATGCTTGGGCTCCGTCCCCCCGACCCCCACCCCATGTGGTACAGGCGAGCTGGCAGCTGCTTTCCAGGGGTCAGTCAGGGGCCAGGAGACCTCTCTTACCACGAGGCAGGCAGACCTGTCTCCTTGATATTGAGACAAACTCAAGAAGTTGTCCCAAATGGCCATTTCTGGTTCCATGCCATGGCCAGGGTGGGAGCAGGGGTGAAGGTGGGCAACCTCCATGGCTCGTCCCCTCCTACTCCAAAGGAGCCCAAGACGCCCCCACCACGGAGCTGGCCGTGGTGCTGAACAGGCAGCCGAACTTGGGGAGCCATTGGAAGACGCCCCTTCCAGCCAGTGCTCCCCGCTCCCGGGGACCTGCAGGCCGCCTCTGTCCCACACCCTCGTGCTCCCCGCCCTTCACACCACCGCCTCCTGCCCATCCTCCTGGCTCCAGCCCCAGGTCCACCCCAAAGCTCACCCCTCTCCCTGCTGCATGGAGGCCTGGGATCTGCAGACCCTGCCCTGCGCCTCAAGCCCAGAGCCTGGCCTTGTCGGACGACTGTCTATTGCTACCATCAGCACAGCTGGGCAGGGGTCAGCCAAGCCACCAGCCTCTCCCAGACCCTCCAAAGCAAAGAGCAGGGGGGCTGTGCTCCTAGTGAGGACTAGCTTGCTGGAATTTAGATCCACATCCTATTAAAGAAATTCCCATCCCTGGGAGTCAGGACAAAAGCCAACAGCAGGCCCCATCTCCCCAACCACGCGTAGCACTCACTCCTCCAGCCTCGGCTTCCACAGCACGCCACCCCCTCCGAGAGAATCTTCATTTGTTCCCCTCTAGCTTCCTTTTTGTTGCCTTCTCACAAAGCCTAATCTCAGGAGCTTTGATGTGCACACTTGGGACATTGGCTCTTTCTCCTCCAGTCACATGCACCTGGCTTCCACACATTTTGGGGGCAACTGGGGCCCCCCTGTGCCTCGCTGAGTGGCTGTGGTGGGAGAAACAGGCCCTGACTAGCGCTGGCAGGGTGTGTCTGTAGCCCCTTGCTACGGGGCAGCACCTCCCTGGCCTGAGTTCCTGCAGGACCAGAGCAGAGCCCAGGGAGCTCACGAGGCCACCCATACTGTCACGTGTTCTCAGGCCATGGGCCCCTTTGATTTGGAATTCAGCTTCCACCGCCAGCTGCTGGCCACAGATCCTCGCTCCTAGAGGCCCCATGTCCACCTGGTGTGCTGCATTGACGCCAGCGTGTGCACCAGGGAAAGTCAGGGAGCCCTGAGATCAGTCACAAGTTCCTCCGGCGATGGCACCAATCATGCTGCAGTCACATCGGCCCTGCCCCAGGAGCTCCTGAGGTGAAACGCTGACCAAGCATCCTCCACACGCCCGTCTCAGCTTTTGCCTCCTCCTTCTGAGCACTTCGAGGAAGGCACTGGCACCATCTGCGTTTTATAGAAGCGGGAGCTGAGGCACAGGGAGGTTGCTAGGCTCACGGAGGTGGCACAGCGGGGAAGGGGCCTCGTGGCCAGACCAGGAGCAGCACCGTAGCCCCTGTTCTCCACCAAACCGAGCAGGGCCGGAGAGGACAGCAGAGTCCCGTTCCCACACAAGCAACAGCTGCTCCTCAGCCCCTCCCGGAGCACAGAATCCCTGTCCAGGCTGCAGAATCCATGTCTGGGGCCGTGGGATCCCTGTCCGGGTGGCGGGATCCCTGTCCGGGGCCGCAGAGTCCCTGTCCGGGGCTGCGGGATCCCTGTCCGGGGCTGCGGGATCCCTGTCCGGGCCGCGGGATCCCTGTCCGGGCCGCAGAGTCCCTGTCCAGTCAGACCTGGGTCACGTGGCGCCAGCTTTGCCAAGTGCACACTCCAGGTTCCAGACAAGGCTGAGGGGCTTCTTGCCAGCCCAGCCTCAGGCTCTGTCCACTTCCCGTGACTGGCACGGGCTTGGGGCAGCCAAGGGAACAGGCTGGACACGCATGGATGGGTTTGTCAGGAAGATGCTTGCCGCTCCTTCTTGGGGCCATCAAAGCCAGAGGCGGGGTGTCTCGGCCTGATCCGAGTCCTTCCCACTCCCCACAGCAAACACCACGCTCAACTTGAGAAAGGGCCTGGGTCGGCCCCACCTGAGGGAGGTGGTTTGCAGAGGAGGCAGAGGTGCCAGCCACGTGGGAGCCCACCCGTGATACCTTAACCTCTCCAGCAAGGGTGGGGATGAGGAAGGCAGAGACAGGCCTGAGGCCTGGTCAGCTGGCCCCGCCCCAGGGAGATGAGCCCCCAGCTCCGTGTCCCCTCCCTCATCAACCCATCCCCACCCCGGGCCCCCTTATCCCACGCTCACCGCAATCAGGATCTGCAGGCCGCTGTGTAGGGCCTCCACAGAGCTGGGCTCCAGGGCACAGATGGCACCTGACACCAGGGCCTGGCCATGGGGGGCCCCGAGGCCAGCTGCCGGCACCTCCTCGTGCAGACAGCCCGGCCAGTGCTCATGCCACCAGGAGCGATGCTGGGAGAGGCTGAAAGTCAGTAGCTCGCTGTCCTGGGGGTGAGGAGCAGGAGCAGGGCCGGTTAGCGCCAGGAGGTGGCTGGCCTCACCCACTGCAGCCTGCGGGGATGCCACCACAGAAAGGCAAGGGGAGGTCCTCTCCTCCCGCCTCCCCTGTCCTCCCACTGCACCCTGTCCCCAGGGCTCCAGCAGTGGTGGGGAAAGGAATACCAAGGCCCTCCCAGCCGCTCCTATGCCTGCCCTCGACCCACACACCTCCTCCTCCAGGAAGGCCTCCCTGCCCAGACCCCAGAACTCGCTCTCAGGGGCACTGGGTCCCTTCCTTGTGTCTCTGGCCAAAGCTGCCATGTGACGTGTGTCTGCCTCAGGACAGTCTCCCCGGCTGCAGCCCCAGGTGTGGCTCCAGGAAGCGGGGGCCCATCTGCCTGGCTGGACACCTGCCTTAGTGCCCACCTGTGCCACACCGGCCAAAGCAGAGAGCCCCCGGGGGAGACAAAACTCCACCCCACCCTGGCTTTAGAACTAACCTCTGAACTGCAGGCAAAGTGCCTGAAACAGCCTCAGTCAGGGTCGGCTCAGCGATGACCCTCCACCTCGTTTCCCCTGGTTCCCTGCATTGCAGGAGGCACGAGGCTTTACCAGCCTGGAGGGTTGGTCGGGCTGGGACAAAGGACCCCACGTGGCCCCAGGAGGGTGGTGTCCATTCACCTGCACATCTCTGCCAGGGTTTGCCCTGCTCTGAGGCTCCTCTTCTCCAGCCGGAGCCCTCTCACCTGCCAACACCCACAGACGCCTTTCATTCCCCAATCAAATCACTGGTCTCTCCCCAAACCTTTACTGAGTCACCAACTACAGACCAGGGCTGTTCCGGGTGCTGGGGACAGAACCATGCACAGACAGCCCCTGCCTCAGACGATGGATGAAGAGAAAACAGAGGGGATGTTACACGGGGCCCGGCCAGGACCCCGGGGAAGGACCTCGCACTGCCTTCTGGTCTGTACTCACCTGTGAGAGGCCCCCAACTTCCAGGTAGAAGCAGATGATGAAGATGTTCCAGGTGACCCAGATGGCTGCCCACACCGTGTACTAGGGAGAGGGGAGGACAGGGCAGCAGCTGAACGCAGCTCCCGGGCACACCTGCTCGCACCTAGCCCCCGGGGGAAGGTCCATGATTGCAAAGGAGGGGCGGCCTCTGCTCCCAAGTCTGGTGGTCCCCGGATGCACAGCGTGGAGAAAGGCGTCCCCTGTGCCCACCCTGCGACAGGTCTCAGAGCTTTCCCACGTGGGCGCCCCAGGAATGAGGCGGTGGGACAGTCAGCTCGAGGGAGCCCCGGCGCAGGTCGGCGTACGGACAGAGCATCTCCAGCTGAGCTGCCACGGCCTGTCCTCACCTCGCCGGGCAGACGTTGCACACGGACAGCACAGGCCTCCCCTGCAGAGCACCCCCAAAGCCACCCCTAAGAGAGTGCCCCAAGGAGCTGCCAGCTGCCTTTGTAAATGAAGTTGTGTGGACACAGCCACCCCCATCTGTGCACACACAGCCCAGCTGCTTTTGTAAATAAAGCTGTGTGGACACAGCCACGCCCATCTGTGCACACACAGCCCAGCTGCTTTTGTAAATAAAGTTGTGTGGACACAGCCACACCCATTTGTGCACACACAGACCAGCTGCTTTTGTAAATAAAGGTGTGTGGACACAGCCACGCCCATTTGTGCACACACAGCCCAGCTGCTTTGTAAATAAAGTTGTGTGGACATAGCCACGCCCGTTTGTGCACACACAGCCCAGCTGCTTTTGCAAATAAAGCTGTGTGGACACAGCCATGCCCATTTGTGCACACACAGCCCAGCTGCTTTGTAAATAAAGCTGTGTGGACACAGCCACGCCCGTTTGTGCACACACAGCCCAGCTGCTTTTGCGCTGGAACTGCACGGGCCACAGCGCCTGAGGTATTTACCATCTGCCCTCTACAGGAAAAGTCGCCGCAAACCACTGGTCTGGACCGATTACTTGGTTCTGCACTGAATGAAAACGCTGACTGAGCAGAGACATTTTTCTGAACATTCTTCCAGCTTCTCCAGAGGATGCAGCAAGGACAGTATGGCCAGGGGTCTGCTGGGGTCCACGTCCCACCCTGGGCTTGAGGCAGTGATTTTGTTCCTGTTTTCCTATCTGTAAAGCAGGGATCACGGCAGCACCCATATCCCTGGCTACTGAGGGGATGAATTTGTGAAAGCCTTCAGTGCCTGGGGCTCCCCAGTACATGCAGCTGCTCCTACAAGCAGCCCCGGAAAAGCCCCTCTGTCCGAACCAGAATTCTAGATGTACAGCAGCAAAGAGGTCTGAACCCAGGGGTCTGGGTTGGCGTTTGTGGGGTGTTCAATGGTGTCCAGGAAAATAGGGCAGGATGGTGCCATGGGAGCCGCCATCCTGGTCACCCCAACCCACCTGCCCATAAAGGGGTCCAGGCCCAGGACTCACCACCACCACATAGCGCGGCCGGTACTGGATGGTGCCAAAGAGTCCCAGGATGATGACGACGATGTGGGCGAAGTTGGCCAGGATGGGCACCCACTGGTAGCCCAGGAAGTCAAACACCTGCCTCTCCAGGGCGGTGACCTAGGGGCAGGGAGGTCGCCGTGAAGGGTGGACCTGAGGGAGGCCCCAGGCCCGCCAACCAGTGCCCGGGCCAAGGTGACGGGCACTCAGCCAGGACTTCCTCCCCAGACCTGCCCACCACACCTTTGTTTGACGAGGGACGCTGGGGCCCTAACTCCTGCTCCATGACCTGTCCAGAGCAGGCACTGGGCATCTACTGTGTGCTTGGCTCTTCCAAGAAAAATCCCCAAATCAGCCTGACAGGCCCCTGTGTGTCCCCACCCGTCCCCATGCGTCCCCACGTGTCCCCGCCCGTCCCCGCTTGTCCCCGCCCGCCCCCGTGTGTCCCCGCCCGCCCGTGTGTCCCAGCCCGTCCCATGTGTCCCCGCGCGTCCCCGTGTGTCCCCGCCCACCCCCGTGTGTCCCCGCACATCCCCGCCCATCCCCACGCATCCCTGGGCAAGCGTTCCTCTCTTGAGTAGGCCCCATCCCCTCCGTCCCCGGTTTCCTCATCTGGAGAACGGGAACACCGGGGGCTGTTCTAAATCACGAATCGTAGGGCCAGGTGACACACACACAGACGGCCCAGAAAACACCACTCGTGGGGGTCAGATGGCCGGGAGGGACTGACGCGGATCCACAGGGGTACCGGACGCCGAGGCCCCAGCCTGCCACCTGCATCTTGGCCTTGGGGACAGTGCTGGCGAGGCCGCTCTCTGGCAGGCAGGTGGTCTCCCCTCCACTTCAGGACATTACAGGACTCTGTGGAACTGGCCCTCCCCACAGGGCCGAGAGGGAACCAACAACGGGGGAGGGAAAAGCGCCTGAGGAATATAAAGTGGTTATTTTATATTTAGGAAACCAAGAAAACCTGAGCAAAGCCATGACCAGGGTGCTAACTGCAGGGAATGGCGCACTCGGCCCCGCCCGTCACCAGCTCCTTCCCACGTGCTGGTGAAGCACACCCCAGAGAACAGAAGATGCTGCAGAACTCACCCCACCCCCACCCCACCCCCCCCGCCCCATTCCCCACCCCACCCGCCCCATCCCCCACCCCAGCCTCCCTATCCCTCACCCCATCCCCCATCCCAGTCACCCCATCCCCTACCCCACCCCCATCCCAGCCACCCAGGGGCCAGAGCTGCCGCCATGCTCAGGACAGCCACGGTGCATCCAGGGAGGACCGGAAGGGACTGGCGTGTGCTGGAAAGGCAGTGACAAGCGACAGCAGCGCAGCTGGGGTGAGTGCCATGGCTGCACTCTGGACTTCACTGCAGGCACTGGAGGGGCTGAGATGCCACGAGTGGCCTCCAGGCCTCTGGCCTGGGGGGTGGGATGGGAGGGGCACCCAGAGAGGTTGAGCCCTGAGGCAGGGGAGAGTTCTAGAGGGCCTGGGCACCTCCTCACAGTGGGGGAAGTGGAGGCTGGATGGGCTGAACCAAGAACAGGGCCAAGCCGGGAGGGCACCGGGGATGCCGGGTGGTGGGCGGTCCAGGCTCTAGGGGCAGCCTCCATCCCTGCCTGGTACAGCTCCTCAAACCGTGCCTGGGGCACAGCGGGCAGGGTGGGCCGTTGTGGATCTGCCCCATGGTCATGCCGCAGGGAAAAGGAGGCCTAGCCTGACTCCATTTCGTCCCAACCCCTGACCCACAGTGGTATCCTTCAGGTTATCTGCTTTCGCCATTTCTGCACGTAGGCCAAGCTCACAACGGCGGAATTCAGCTTGGTTTACCTTTCAAGCAAGGACGACCATAGCCCCTTCCCGAAACCACTCTGGAGAACAGGAGCTGGGCAGGGCGTGCACACAGGCAGCAAGGCTGCAGATCTGGGCCCCGTGACCTGGCCCGGGATGTGGGGGCTACAGGCTGCAGATCTGGGCCCCGTGACCTGGCCCGGCATGTGGGGGCTACAGGCTGCAGATCTGGGCCCCGTGACCTGGCCCGGCATGTGGGGGCTACAGGCTGCAGATCTGGGCCCCGTGACCTGGCCCGGCATGTGGGGGCTACAAGACTGCAGATCTGGGCCCCATGACCTGGCCTGGGATGTGGGGGCTACAAGGCTGCAGATCTGGGCCCCGTGACCTGGCCCGGGATGTGGGGGCTACAAGACTGCACCCACCCACTGGTCCTGCCTCACGGTGAGTCCAATTCTGCCCACGGCAGCTTTCACCCGGCCCTGGCCCTCCAGCTGTAGTGTGGCTCCAGTGAGAAAGCTGGGCAGGTACGGAGCCCAGCACAGAGCAGGTGCTCAGTAAACGCCAGGAGCGGGGTACTGTGAGGACACCAACTGGTCCATGGGTTGCAGGGAGCAAGATCTGGCAAGTGATGGTCTGGGGAGCCAGGCGGGAAGCTGAGGGGTTGGGGAGCCAGGCAGGAGATTGGGGAGCGGGGCGGGAGGTTGACCACTGGCAAGGAGCCTGGGAGCCTCCCTCGAGCAGCAGAGGCTGGTGGCCTTGGAGGGAGGAGGCAGGAGTATGGCTCCCAGGACACTGAGGCAAGAGAGAGGGTCCAGCTAGCCTGGCCTCCCTGTGGAGTCGCCTCATTCTTCAGCAAATCATCTCCAGCGAGAGTGGAGGCCGCAGAGGTCTGTCATGGCAGGTGGTTCCTTGGAAAACCCTTTTCCAACACAAATTGCTCAAAGCCACACCCTCATCTGTGGGGTGGCCGCTGGTGAGAAGCCACACAGGGAAGCTGAGCTCACTCAGGGGCCAGGGGACTCCGTTCTCCTAACCCTGACCCCCAGTTCCTGCCCTCCCAGCAGCCACCTCTTTGTGAGCCCTCGGGCCACGGGAGCCAGTACACCCCACGGATACCCACAGGGACCACTTCTGCCCCACAGCTGTGGCCTGGTCCCCCACCAGGCTTGGAGCTCAGGACAGTGAGGCCCCGGGGCTTAGAGACCCACACTTCGCCCCCTCCCTCTCTTGTGACATGGATGCCAGATGTGAAGCCTGAAGACCAACAGCCCCCTGAAATGACAGGATGGCAAGAGCCAGCCCCCCGAAAATACAGGAAGGCAGTGGCCAGCCCCCTAAAACTATAGGAACTATAGGAAACCCCCCATGACAGGAAGGCAAGGCCTGGCCCCCCAAAATTACTGGAAGGGAGGGGCCAGTCCCCCCAAATTATAAGAAGGCAGGGGCCACCCCAAATGACAGGAAGGCAGAAGCTGGCCCCCTAAAACCACAGGAAGGCAGGGGCCAGCCCCGAAGCCTCCTTCCACCCAGCCGCGGAGAAAGGGTGAGAAGCCGAGGGAGCTTGGGTCAGCAGGCTTCAGGCAGGTCCCGACGGGCCTACCGGGGTCCCAGGTACAAAGGACACAGAGGCTCACGGACAGGGAGAGGGTGGGCCCTGGACAGCGAGGCGGCTCCCGGAAGGTGTCAGAGCAGGGGGCGTGCACGCCGCACTGGGGCCGCTCACCCAACGCCGGCACCTGCCGAACGCCCCGCGTGGGGTGGTGCTGGCCACAGCGGAGGCCACTTTGCAGGGCCTTCACCACATCACTCAGCAGGACGGGCGGCCACGGAGGCGTTGGCAGAGAACGGCGGGATCTGAGCTACGTTTTAGAGACGGTCCCAGGCCCGTTCTGCTCTCCCCCAACAGCCCAGACCAGACCCCCATTTCAGCTCACAGGCTCCCCACAGACAGCAGCGCACAGCAAACCTGTCCCTGCCTGTCCCGGCGGGACAAGCAGACGCTTTTAGGACCTCCTTGGCTCTAGCGCCCCCTGCTGATAAGACTCGGAATCTTCCTGATTTCACAGCAGCAAACAAGGCCCCACATCCCCAGGGTCAAGCCAAGGCCCCAGCCGACCAGCGTCTCCGGGCTGCCCCAGGCTGCCCCTTCCCGAACCGGGCGGAAACCACCCTCCCGAGCTGCCATGGCTCTCTGCGCCCTGGGAAGCTAGCTTGGGCCGTCCGTCCAGCAACCCACCAGCCCCTGGAGAGGCTGGGCCCTGGCCTGGACAGGGGCGGAGCCCTCCCATCACCCTGAGGATCTACACCTGCCTCCCCAGGCGACCGCTGATCCCCAAAAAGGGGTGTTTGCTGTCAGGACTGGTCAGGGACTCCCTGGGGCCAACGACCTGACACAGGCCAGCTGGGGGTCCTTCCCTGACCCCAACTCTTCCACTACCAGATGTCAGCCAGGAGGCAGGGTGCAGGGGACTTGTCTGTCCTCCCCGTCCATCCCACTGAGCTCCTCCCAGGCAGGGACCAAGCTCCATTGTGCTCAGTGGGGACAGTCAGAGACGGAATCACTGACTCAGGCTTCGGGGGACGGGAGGGGCCGCAGACGAGGGCAGAGCAGGCCCCAAGGCAGAACACAGGTTGTCCAGGAGGCAGCCCGAGGCAGCTTCAGATGCCCGGAACCCACGCTGTGCACGAGTGCTGGGCTTCACTCACTCCGCACCTCGGGCTCCTCGTCTGTGAAACGCTGGCGCCTCCATAGCTGGATGTAGGTCCAGCCTCATAACCGTGCCCGGCAGAATGAAGTGCCAGCTGCTGCCGGCTGCCGTGGCTGTAGCAGCACACGTGTGCAGAGTCCCCGTGTGCAGCCTCAGAGCTGGTCTCACCCGCACCCACGTGACCCTCCGAGGAAGCCCCAGTGCCCGTCCACAGGCCCTCCAAGCACTCTGAGTCCTGGGAATCTGCCCCCGTGTCCTCCACAGGAAGGGGATGCTGTCCACAGATGCGCCCACGGCGGCGTGATCTGCCAGGGGGCGAGGAAGACTGGAAATGTCCAATTTTGACAAGCCGGGTGCTGTCACGTGAGGACAGTGACTCCAGGCAACCAGAGGGCCTGCCTGGGACGCAGACGGGTCAGACGACATGTGGTGGGGACAGGCAGAGCGGGGGCAGAAAGGCAGAGGCCACGTCTGCACAGATGGCCTCAGAGCTTCCCTGCCAGCCCCTCCCAGTCCTGCGGTCTGCAGATGCCTCGAAGCCCTCGAAGGGAAGTTGTTCTTTCTGTGATCTCCGGACTTCCCCACAACCAGAGCCCCCTCAAGCTAGGACCCCTGCC